TAAAAACTGGTCCCAATTTCAAAGTTGGATTGCGAACCCGCGAACCTCGCGAACCACTCATTAGATTTTGATGATTTTTTTTTTCAATTGTAAATTAATTTCTTCTTAACGAATGCTACGTCAGCAATTTTTATTCCGAATTTATATTGAGCATATACAGGATAACAACAACAATAAGACGAAGTTTTTTGCCCGAATTTTGTAACACCCTGTAGGGTGCAGCAGCTGTAGTAGCTATTGCTAAATCAAATCACATTGTAGCCTCATCTTTTGTGAGTATTTTATCTTTAAACCAACGCATCGAAAAAAGCTTTAAAAACAAATCAAACATCAGAACGTAGGTAAGTTTAATCTGAAAACTAACTAAAACATAAAAATTAAAAAGTAAGGTAAATAAATTTTAAAGGACTAGTATCTAGTGTCCACTCGCAGGTATCCTGGACTGTTGTTCGAAATATACCCAGTATCCAGGGTATCGGAGACATAACGTTGACTTCGCCCACCCTCAATTAAAGCCACAATACGAGCAATATCAGTTACAGATAATGGCATTTTTTAATTTGACAGCCGTTGTTGTCATATTGCAAATACTCATAAATCCGTTTTCTCTTGATTATTTTATTATTACACATAAAACTATCTGCCTGCGAAACATTTTTTCCGAGACGTTCGTTTTAAAACCGCATATCTCCAATACAAAAAGAGATAATATGGTGATTAAAAAAACAAAATGCTCACAAAAGATGAGGCTGCAATGTGATTTAATTTAGCAATAGCTCTGCTGCACCCTACAGGGTGTTACAAAGTTCGGGCAAAAAACTTCGTCTTATTGTTGTGTCCTGTATATGCTCAAAATAAATTCGGAATAAAAATTTCTGACGTAGCATCCGTTAGAAAAGAATTAATTTACAATTTAAAAAAGAATTATCAAAATCTAATGAGTGGATTGCGAGAAATCCAACTTTGAAATTGGGTCTAATTTTTAGTGGCCGGTTTTTTTGCCGGTGAGTTTATAATAGGTTAATCACTGCGACCTTAAAGATCTATCTATTTAATAAAATTAATATCATTGTCAAATTAATACAATTGTATTTATATCAAGGATACCAAAATCGACAAAATAGGAAAAGACAACGTTTAATCGGCACTAAACGGCCTACATAACTCCGCTAACAAGAAAAAAAAGTCAGTGGCACTCATGTGTTTTTAGAGAAATATATTCCAGTGATAACCCGTCCCTGATGAATCTGTCGACACGTCCCTAATGCACGTCTCTGATGAATCGTTTATGTTTATGAAGTTTACCACAATTTAAACTTAAGATAATTATTTAATTATTAAATCCATAATTATATTAAAATATAACACTTACGAAGTTAGAAATATTTACAGTTTCTACTTAATTATTTAATAATTCTGATAAAAACATGCTTGATTATTTATTTTAGAAATTATACGGGCTATAATCATTAATATGACTATATTAACAATACTTAAATCAAAATTTATTTAAAGGAATGCTACTGTATTATAATAAATTGTAAAACAAGTATGTAATAATAACTCGGAAATAATTATCAAAAACTGCTCATCGCGTTATAGATGTCGGCGTCTTGTCTTTATTATTTTATTAGCCGTTTAGCTATAGTTTGATTTCAGATAATGCAGATTTTAATGTGCCATTTGTGTTTTTTTTATTGGAATTATTATTTTTAGCATATTTTACCAAATATGAGAGCATATTTTACCAAATAATTCATAGAGTATACCACTCTATGTAGTGATTATAAGTGCTCCACTCCATTTTTCAATTTTTAAAGTGCCTATTTAGATACATTTAAAATTAATTAATTGGTGTATAGTAGGTATTTGTATTATGGGTTTGTTTATTTTTTATGAAATATATTTTTTCCTATTAAAATAAACATATCTTACTAAATCATTATCTAGCCATTCTTAAATACAAGGTGTTAATTAAGTATCTGGCCAAATTTCAGTAGGTGATTCTTTGAGTGTTTTTAAGGTAAAAAGTTCATATAAACATATGTCCGGAAATGTATAATTTTAAAGATACAGGGGTGTCCAGATGTTTTCTAATAGAACTTTTTTATTAATATCTCAAAGATCCGTTGGCCGATTTTGTTGAAATTTCGCCGTGTTGTGAACTTTGATAAGTTAGCACTAATTAAATGACAATTATTATTTACAACAATATTCAAACGATAAAAACTTATCCCAATAAATATTTGGCACCGCCTTGGATTCATTTGTTTTTACGCCTCTTAGCGGTGGAAACCATGCAAGCTTTTTCTTTGTCATATATATCATCAGTCATATCATATAAAAAAATATAGGTCCTAATAGCCTAAATGTTATCCTTGTTTATATAGGATTTTATTGAAATGTATCAGCAGATCCGATGAGACCCGAGTTATTATATGTTTTGGAACTTAATGATTTAATTAATTATTCCCTTTAATGCATCGATTGTGCGCATTATCCTACGCGCCAAGAAAAAATATTGCATTAGTCTAAATTCATTATTTATGTTATTCCGCTCTTTCACGTATAATTTGCCCCTTGCTTCTCATACGGAAAGAGTTAGACTAAAATAGCCCAACTGTACCTAACAACCCATGCCTTGACGCATATTCTTTTTTATAATAATATCGGCTTTCCCAGACTAAACATCCATATCCATAAAATAGTTGGCCCACACTGATAAGACCTCATTTCGGCCCTCGAACGTCCTTGCTCTATTCGATGATCAACGCCGGATAAACTATCGACTTACGTGTTGACAAGTTGATTAGATAGGTTATTGAACTTGGACCGTACCATGTCGCCACTAGCATGTCGTTTTTTCAAAGACGGGTCCCATATAAACGCGGCCAGAAGTATTTTCAATACTAAAAACTTTAATGTTAAGTATTATAATACTTATGTTTATGTTATAATAATAATAATAGTAAATGGACTTTTTTGAAATATTCATTAATTAATTTCTTTTAAAACTTGACATATTAGAATACTATCGGTATCTTGATAAATCAGCGATGTTTAATTAAATATATAAAAATTATAAAATCCAATTTTAGAATGTTTAGAAAGCATAAAACATAATCTTGCAGATATTATTGTTAAATCCACACTTTAAAGTTGGTATTATGTTCATCATTGTAACGCAATTTAAAAAAAAAATCAGTTTGAATTTTGTTTTAAAAACGTATATAATTCTTCGTGATATCTAAATTAATATAACATAATATAAATATTTAAAGATATAATTAAACTTATCTGAATTTTATTATAGAAACTTAAAAATGAAAGAATATGTTGGGTGTCCTAAAAACCATGCGTAAAAAATGCATAAAAATTTAAATTGACACTTTTACCTCTTTTTCAAATTTACATAATAAGAAATGACAACCCAGCTACCATAATCGCGCAGCATATTTTCTTGTTGGATGTCCTCTAGTTCGCCCCAAGCTAGCTCATACAAATAAGAATTATTTAAATACACTCAGATGCAAAAAAACGCAACGGAAAAATTATTGGTCCTGTTTAAAACGTTAATTTTTTTAGTCCTATTTCATTGATTTTTTTAGCAAACTGTATATAAATATTTCAACTTTAATTCGAAAACTCAGTTTATTATAAACTTTAATATTTATCTTATTATACAGGGTTAACCGAAGAGTTGATTTTTACCTTATCTTTAAAACACCCTGTACAATAATTTCGTAAGAAATTTTTTGCTAAAACATTATTTTTCGGTCAGAACCATGTCTCCTGAATTGTTTGTTTTTTGACTGATGTCAACTCATGCCTTGGTTAATTTTTAAAAGCAAAATGAACTTTGCCAAAAACATTTTGCAATTTTTTCAATTATCGTTACTTTTTGATGTTATCTTTTAACATCACGAGGTGGCTTTGGTGGCTATTGTCGTTATATCATATCGACACTGATTAGAACTCTATATTAAAATTTAAAAAAAATGTTAAAACGGTGCTTTAAAACGTTCTCAAATACAGTTCAGAGTACTATGTATAGCTTACCAACTTTCAACAAACATAATTTTATGCTTGTTGACGAGGGAAAACAATAAAAAAAACTCAAATAATCTTTACACATATCACACTTTATTTTAAATGTAACTTAAACTATAAATAATACAATAACATTAATATTCAAATAATATCTAAGAATGTATTACCTAGAAACTTTTTGACATTTTTTTTCTAGAGAATTGTATTTACAATGCAATTTGTGTAGTAGTAAAGCGTAGGAAGCAATCTGATATTTATGTATGTTTCTATTAGACATACAGAGCTTCTTTTTAATGTCTTTCACAAAGATAGGGGCTTATGTATGCATGTATTTTCTTGTCGAACAGATAGCAAATGCAGAATTGTATTTTTAGTTAGAAATGCTGTACATTTTAGAAAATCTGTAATGTTTTTATATTTTGAGATATGTTGGAAAACAACATGAAAATAAATGAAACTAAATTTTAAAATACTATCTTGCATTCTTCAACAAACATTTTGAAAAATACTAGATTATAACTAGCTGATCCGACAAATGTTGTTTCGCCATTTAAATATTTTTTTCTGGGACAAGAGTCATCTTTATTCACGGAGTTGGAAATTATTGAAATTGTAATGTCGCTATTAAAAAGTAGTGGTTGATGGTAGAAGGGTGAAAATTTAGGGTTGAATATATTTTTAATGCCACATTATAAAAAAATAAAAATAAAAAATTTTGTCCAAAAAATAAAAAATGGGGTGGACCACCCTTATCACTTAGGGGTATAAAAAATAGATAACATCCTATTCTCAAACCTAATGTATATACATATAAAATTTGATCAAAATCGGTCAAGCCTAGGTACTGAATATGTCGTATGATCAAAAAAAGTTTAGTTGACTTGGAAATGACGATTATTGACATTTCCAAGCCAATTCTGATACATTTTTTGTTTAATCGTTAAATTGTTTATTGATAGAAAATTCGTATTATTAATTTACTGTAACCCAAAATCCGTAAATCTACGGATTAATCACTAGCTTTGACAATACTCTCTCCGGAAACCACTCACTCTGTTGACTGAAAACAGAACTACGGTACAGTATTCTTTATCCGCTGCGCTGTAAAAGACTCTCAGCGCGCAGTGGTGCAGAGCAAATGTAAATCTCGGAATTCTCGGACAGGCTGATGGTAACGCAAGCTACATCACGAACAGTTTTTGTGCCACAAAATCGCCTATAAGGTTGTAATAAGGCAACTTATTTATTCAATCAAGGGTATAACTATTCAAATTAGTTTTGGACGTTGTTGCTGTATCTATTTTCGGTTTGTAGAACTTGTATTAAGATAAAAAAAAATCAATAATATTATTATGAATATTGAAATTAAATAAAGTTTACAACAGGTTGCACATTATTGCAATTAATGATAATGTGTAATATTAATGATTATGTGCAATTAATGTATTTTTGAATTACCTAATGGACATAAAGAGTAAAATAGTTCATATAAATAAAAACATTACAGATTTTCAGTTTTACTATAGTTTAAGAAGGCATACAATTAGGCATATTAATTTAGTGTACAATTATTGAAAAAAAGAATGATAGCTATCACATATTTAACACATAGACCGTGTTATAGATTACATAGTTTAGCCAGTGTGTATATACAGTTAAAGCTAACGTAAATAAACAACATTATATTATATAGAGGCTAAATCAATATCATTTTATTAATTATTTACATCCATATTGCATTTAATTAGAGTAAATTTAATTATCAAAATATCTTTGACTGTTCCAAGATTTACCGTTACATCAGAGATCTAAAGTTAAGTTTTAAATTTAATATTTCTACAAACGTTACAAAGAGACTCTTTGTCAACTCGATCTAGATTGTCAGTAATAAATAATTAATTTTTCTTTACAAGCTAGGATAAAATTTGTCAGACTAAGTTTTACAAATCTTTTAAACAAAATCATAATATAGAATATAATTAATTTAATAGCAATAAATGTTGAGACTTGTTTTATCAAATACATCAATATCATTAATGTGTAGATATTTTCAACTTATTATTGCTACGTAAAAAGTATTATTTAAATTTAGTTTCGAAAAAATCTTTGAAATGTCATCAAATGTCATCAAAGGTAACGTTCTTACAATTTAAATTACTTATTACTACACTACTACAATTACTAATATTATTGTAGTGTATATGTGATGTTAAAGGTATTTCTGATATCTTTTGGTTTTCATTAACATTAAATGACATTGATCTATTTGTTAAATAAATATACAGGGTGGTCCGAATTGTATTTGCAAAACTTTGGCAGCATATTTTACAGATAAAAATAAGTAAAAAGTTCGTATAAATTTATACTCTAGGCGTTTTATTTTTATTTGAATTTTTCAAAATGGTATGTGAACTAATGTCGATATTTGGATAAAAATTGTTGTAAGGGATTTTTTGACATCAGATATTTGGTTTTGGATGTCAATATGACTCTTACTTGCAGGGGGCGCCACCTACATATTTTTAACTGGTTTGGAAAGTGGGCAATAACTTATTGTCCGTACGTACATAAAACTACTGAGTAAAAAATATACTCGTACATTATACTTTTTAGAAATAAGTTTCTTTGTAAAAATCGCTACAAGTGACCGTTCTCAAGATATTTTTAATATAAATGATCATCATTATTACATTATTGACTAGACTAAAGAGATAAAAAATGATAAATTTAGAAATTCTTAAATTAATCATGATTTTTTCTAGAGTCACGCTCAAACAGTTTGTGTTGGACCTCTGGCATATGAAATTTATCATCATCTGTAAATATAACGTCAAATTGTTTTTTTTTTCTAAAGGATGTCATGCACTGATTACTTTGATTCAAATATCTCGAGAACCATTACTTTTATGTAAAAAACGACGGAAATGTATATTTTTTACTCAGTAGTTTTTTTATACAAGTACGAACGAAAGGTTATTACTTTTTAAACCAGTTAAAAAGTATGTAGGTAGCGCTCACTAAAAGTAGGAATCGCATTGTCACTGAAATCAAATTTCTCATGTTCAAAAAAAATCCAAATTCCAATTTTTATCCAAATATCAACGTTAGTTCAGAAATTATTTGAAAGAGATTGAAACATAAATGAAACTTCTATACATCCGAAACGAAGCTACTTTAGGACATAAATGTACGAAATGTTTATATCATATTTATATTTTTATTAATATATATTATATTTATATTTTTTTATATTTTTATCTGAAGAATATGCTGTTGTATTTTCCCGGATACAATTTGGACCACCCTGTATAGGAAATATAAATATTTGTTTTAGTAAATTAGGTTCCAATCTAACAGCATTTAAATTTCTTATTTTTCACTAATAATCTCAATGATAATATTAAAGTCTTTTTAGGGGTAGTTGATCACAAAAGAGTTATACGTTTACAAAGATTTTTATAGGTTTTTTAGGTATTTATATTATTACAAATTAATTTATAATATTAAATAAAACACTATACTTATAAACAAGTAAAAAAGTCTGGATATGCCGACTTGACTCGAGGCGCTCTTCACTGAAACAAAAGAAATCCATGTCAAAACTACGTAAAATAACTACAAGTTCTGCAACGGAAGTTAAACTTGCATTAATTTTTATCCATCCAACTTTGGATTATTAAGAAGATATTTCTTTAAATGCAATTATTTAGCGATCTAGAGCCGGCTCTCCGTTTTACTGCAGGATCAGTTAAACACGGCTGAAATTATCTGAAATATTTAATGTTGGAATTAAAGTTCCCGACTACATTAAATTAACTTTTGCTCAACCGGTTCACTTCTTTCATTTTAACTTTTTGAGACTTATTAAGATATTATAAAACGACTTTGCTAATTTACTGTGAGAGCCTATTTTTAAATTAATTAGCAACTTTTCGTTTTGCAATTTTGAAAGCGTATTTTTTGTTTTTATTAATTTGTTAAATCGATTTTTAATGTTTTAATAATGTACAGTGTCTGTCAGAAAATCTGCAACAAGTGGGAGTTTTTCTATTAGTAAGTTATTAAAGTAGTGTGTTTGGGATCAATTAAGCAAAAGTCATATATTACAAAAGTGCAAGAAAAGATTCTTAAGAATTTATGTATTTATGAGACAATTTCCGAAATTTATTAATTTTGAATTTGAACAATTTTAAATAAGACAAAATGAAAATTATTTTTTTTTATTAATTACGACTTTTAAAGAAAATTACAGCTTTACGAATTATTTGTATTCAATTTGTTTTTTTTGTATATTGTTCATACAAAAAATGATTTTATTTCTTCGCAAAATGGCCAAATATTCATACTTAGTAATATAAAATTAAACTCGGCAAACATACCTTAAGCTATAATTATAAACAACTTTCCTTTATAATTATTTTCTAGTTTTACAAGATGGCAATTGTCACATGACACTGTCAAAATATTTTTTAATTAATGCAATTGGATGACTTACTTTTTTTTTAATTTAAGGTAATATAATTTTAAATATATGTTTTTTAAAACGTAGACACATTTTCTTTAATACTCAGGTAGATAATGTCCAAAAACGGTAAACTAATAGGATTATTCATTCTCATAAGACATACGTTAGCCTCTTCCCGCACTTCAGCTGACAATTATTGTTACGTCATCGACGGATTGTTTACTATTCAGGCTCTGTGTACTGTACGTTTGTAAAGTTTTTTAGAGCTATAGAGTTTATAAATACTTTCATTTTGTGTTGCGATACAACTTTATAGACAAGTGTTAACATCATGTTTGTGTTTTACAGTTTTGAACTGTGACTAAAGGCGCATTCTCACGACTCGTGTACTTGACAAACATTTGTTATTGGAATATACTCGCCATGTCGTGAGAACGGTTTCCTTGGTCACTCGTCGCGTTCCCACTCTCTGTCGGTAAATATAGCCCGAGTCTAAGGAACACAATAATTATTATTCGTACACTTGCCAAGTGTACTTGGCCAGCCTTGTGTATACTTGCCGAGGAGCAAAAAAACGACTGCGCAAATAATTGTACTGTTATAGAGTATGTTCCGTTTATTTCCGAATCGTAGTGTTTTTCGAGTTAATTGCGGATAATTTAAAACGTTAAAACAATAATAGATTATATAATATCAAATTTACATTAACAACTTCACTATTGGCCACATACCTAAATCGTTCTCACAGCAACAAATGGAATGGACAAATGAAGACTACACGGGAAAAACCAGATATTTAACATTTTCATAGAAATTAAGATAGCGATACAACTTTATAGACAAGTGTTAACGTCATTCGAGAAAAAAGAAAGCAATAGTACGCTTAGTCCCAGAGATATTACAGTTTGGTTATTTTGCCGTACAAAGGAAAAACCAAAGTAGTCCACGCGTAAATGGCAAAAACCAGAAATGTACTTACGCATGGGCGACAAACCTGCATCTTGCAATTAGTATTATATGTTATACATTTATGCATTGTAATAAAAACCTACTTAAATATTAATTTTCTTCCTACAACAAAAAAATAATAGTTTAGATTTAGATTTTATACAATCTTAAACATCCCTGGTTTGTTTTACATTTTAATATTTTTATTTCGGTATTTCAGAATATGGCAATAATTCACAATATTAATAATTCAGAATTGGTAGTAATGTATATTTTTCTAATTATTCAACCGAAAATAACATATTTCTTTAAAAACACTAAATTACATTTTTCTCGACTCCAATTGAAATGGACAGAACTGTGATTTTGGTGTAGTCTTCAAATTATGTTGTTTTGGGATTTATGGATCTATACGAAAATGAGCCCTTCATATGGATGGCCAAACACAAAAAACATAAAAATCGTATTGCAGTGTACAGTAAAAGAACTTAAAAAGAAAAAAGAGCAACTTAAAACAAAACGAAAACGACCAACAAAACTAGCAACAACAATTTCGGGATGACCGATATCCATCGATGCGACTATACTGTTTACTTGCCAAGGATTTAAACAATGTGTGTGCTGGCGTATTTGTTAAAATGAAAACGTCGTGTGAGTGCCACACTTGTCGATGTTGTTTACAAAGTGGGGACTGGTGGGGATACTTGCCAAGTACGCAAATATTGGCGTGCTTGCCAACTAGACGAGTCGTGAGAGTGCGCCTTAAGTGCTTACGATATTGTTTATTAATTATTTTAAAGAAAAATATGGAAGTAGAATGCTTTCATGTTTTGCTTTAAAATAAAAGAAAAGATGCTTGAAAAGATGATGCTAGCAGAAAATTGAGAAAATATTAAAAATACCAGATTAAATCGTTTCATATTACATAATATATTATGATATTTTTATTAAATAAAACCACATATGATTATTTTATCGACTTGTTATGGATAGAGAAAATTGTGATGGTATAGGACCATCAAATGATATGAGAATTGTTTTGTATGTACTGTGTACATATATGTTATTGGGTTATATGGAATATGGTTACGATGTACTAGACGCAGTGTTGTTTAATTTAATTTAATGCATACGTAATTTATTTTAATTTACTGCCAAAAGCACACACACATAGATACCAACCCAACATAAAATAATTGTGATAATTGGAGTAAGATTTGAAATAACTTAGGCATTATCAGTGTGTGTTAATATCAGTAATATTGGTAGGAATAAATAAAAAAATACATAATAATATTCTATGCCTTTTTGGTACTCTTTTAATGCCAATTTATGCAAATTTGTAAACGTCTAATTTAATTTTAGCAAGAATATAAAGCAAAACATTAATTATTTAATTTATTTATTTACACATCTTATAGGTATGCAGTATATAAAACCGTTTAATCGTATTAAATACTCGGATAATGCATTTTTAAGAACAGCAGTTCCTAGACTATGTAGGCCCTTAGGTATGTACAATAGAGTACACAAAATGAAGGTATTTATACACTCTATAGCTGAAAAAAAAACTTTGAAAACGCCCAATTCAATAATTTTTAACAATTAAAATTGACAAAATAATTAACTCACAAGTACACACAGCCTGAATGGTAAACAATCCGTCAAGGGTTACGACTGACGTCACAAAGTGAGGAGTTTTCGCATGCACTTAGCAGATACTTTCGGCTGAATGAGCAGTCCTATTAGGTTAACTATTCTTGGATAATGTCTTATAGCGATTTACTACTTTTAGGGAAGAAAGTCTGCACTACGTTTACTCACTACAATACCTAGAGATATTTTTGTCTGAATTTTTTAGTAAAAATAGATGGCGTTATTAACATGCAATAATTATGAAAATGATTCATAGATATTCAACTGATTGTTGAATAAGATATAGTGTAGATTAACATTCATATTTAATTAAATTTTCATAATGTGTCGAAACATGATTAGCACTTCCTTTATATTTATGTGTAGGATGCCAAATATGATGATAATAATTAATAAAATAATGAATATATTGAAAATTTTATTTGCGGAAAAACTGAAATTTCTAAGTTAAAATAATGCGTACCCTGAATATGTGTCACGTGTGAAGAAGCAATGGACCACTCACCCAATAAAAGGGCCTCGCGCATGTCCCTCATTACGGGCAGACTGTGCACTACTGCTTCTCTATCCTCACTGAAGAGTACCGGTGCTATTGATGCGACACATTTCACTCTCATTGACCCACCAAGAAAGTGTCTGTTGCTCAGAATGAATCTCAGGCCCAATGTACTCGTGACAAGACCTTTTGCGTGATGTTCTATAGGGTACTTGATCAATGCTTCGTCCTTTTGGATCTGAAAAGATTAGTAAATTATATATCTATTTTATTTGGGTATATTTATTTTGTTCCTAAAATATAACGCATATATAATAAATTAAATTAGCAAAAAAAACGAAATAATTACAGATTAAAAACTTATTGTCTCTCACTAGATTTTGCTTTTAGATGTTTTTGGTATATAATTAATTAAGTTGTAGAATATGTTAATGAAACAATTTGGTTAAGTTAATTATAGTTTTTCAGGTTTTGAAATAAGTTTGGTTTTAATACTTATTTTTTAAAGCGCGTATATTATATTATTAATTCTGAAACTTTTAAAGTAAGAAAATTTATATAAATATGTAAATTAAAAAATAAGTTAATGTCAAATTGTTAAAATGTGTACTTCAAATTATTGAAATATCAAATGTTTTTTCATTCTTATATTTACTTTTTAGATTTAAAAGCAGCAAATCCACTTTTTTATCAAATCGACAGTGTAGTCACCAGCAAAAGTATTTTATATCAATATTAGGTATAATAAAATATAACTTCGTTGGTATTAACTGTTATATTAATAACTTGCAGTAGTACTTGCATTATACTTATTCTATTTTGCTTATTCTATTCTTATTTTGCAACTTATTGGGTACAACTTGAATTTGTCAATTATGAAATTATATTTGGTAATTTTGCTAGCAACGCAAATGAAACTGCCAAAATGTATTTGGAGGAAACATAGTGTTAAGTACGTTCGACTATTGTACAAAAACATAACTAGGTCAGTATAGTGCAAGTATTAATTGGAATATGTCATTTGAATTTATTACAACACGTTCTTAAAATAGCAATACATTTTTCTAACAAAAAATATCATTTGTACTACAGTTTACGAAGTACAGCAATAAAAAAGATTGTTTTAAAAAGTTTGTGAGAAATCTGTATGTTTTGTTGCAATTGATTTTTAGATATACCAATGAAAATAGGATTTATTTTTAATTTAATATATTTAATTAAATCCTTAAATTATATTTTTTAGTCTAATTATAAAGCTCATATATACGGGTTTTATATTTTGCAGCACGTTCACTAGAGTAGAATTATGAAAAATCACCCTGTATATCAAACTTTACAAATCCACCCTGTTATATCAATCGTTACAAATCCATCTTATCAAAAATTTATATTGCTAAACCGTAGCAGACAATGCTACTGCCTAATACTGTGCTCGAGATATGTCTTGACCCAATAAATATCAATTTCTCTAAGACTAACCTGTTGTTCGTTTATGTACCAGTGTAGAATAGACGCTGGTCGACTCCTGCCAGAAGTGCAATTCAAGTTTATCTCGTCCCCGATCTGATATTGTTCCTCCACACCGGAAATGACGGGATCCTCGTCCGGAAGTGCTGAAAAAAGAAAGAAAACGGACTATTGTGAATGCGATTGTTGTGTATCTAGAGATATAAACAAGATATATTATCTGGATTATTAGATATAAACAAAATATATTACCTCAAGATATATTATCTCGTATTATTGACAAGAAATTAAAGTATCGGATTATCACATATAAATATAAGTATCGAACAACATTAGTTGTTATTGGCGGAACAATGAGAGGTAGAGTTTACATTCAGGAGGTGTTGATTCCAATAGGAGCAAATTTTTTCTTCGTTGATGACAATTCACCACTACACTGGACAATGGAAGTGCAACGTTTTTGTGTATACGGTATTAATATAAAAAAGCATCAGAGTTGATTTAGAAATTAAGATCGCTCTCCTTTTATATGTAACATTATAGGGACAATATCATCAATCATTTCAAAGCCAACTTGAAGCCGGTTATTTTTGAATCGCACGGTATAGTGCACATATTGGAGAGAGGATATTATCAAACATACATTATAAGTTATTCTTGTGTATTTTTATAGTAAAATTATTGCACTAAAGTTTTCTATATGTGTAACAGAAATAAGTAATATAAAAATCTGAAAGTCTAATAAACTTCTTAAATAAAAAATATTAATAAAAATAATTTTACTGCAAGCAAAGAATACAAACGATTTTGTATAAGTTACAACAAAAGAGGTAAAAAAGAGGTATACATAAACTTGTAGAGGAAAAAAAGATACTGTATTTGAAATGGCTAAATTCGAAATCTGAACTAGACAAGCGCACTTATAATGACAAGAAAAATGAGGTGAGGAGAATGGTTAAAGAAGAAAAGAATAAAGTGTGGGATGACAAATGCAAAGAAATTAATACGTATATAGGCGGAAGAAGGAATACGGAAGTATGGAGATTTATAAAAACAAAAACAACTAAAAAACAGGAGTCAGCCCCTATAGAAATAATAACCAACAAAGAATGGGTGAAATATTATTCCAAATTGTTGTCAGAGAACAGACCTGAGTATCAAGAACCGCCACAGCCAGAAATAAACATTGAAGGAGAGGAAATCTACGTGGATACCAACAAAATAAAGACCGCTATAATGTCTTTAAAGAATGGAAGAGCATGTGGCCCAGTGGGAGTATATGCAGAACTCATAAAATCTGGAAGCAAAAAAATTTTAGAATGTTAACAAACATAGTTAACCAGTGCTTAAATGGTCATCCAGTACCTGAACAGTGGAAAAAAGCATATATCTCCTCTATATATAAAAAGGGCTCAAGGAAGGATCCCAATAACTACAGGGGAATTTCGGTCACCAGCACTATGAGTCGCCTCTATGGAAGGATACTGAGGAACTTAATTGAAGAGGAATACTCCAGCTACGAAGAAGAAGAGCAGAATGGTTTCAGAAGCGGAAGATCATGTACAGATAATATCTTTGCATTGAAACAGGAAACAGATCATCGAGAAGAAATCTGCAATGAACCAGGAAGTTCATATAACATTCATCGATCTACAAAAAGCATATGATACAGTGCCAATAATAAAATTATGGGAAGTATTGCACGAATCAAGAATTAACGCAGCTCTGATAAAATCTGTACAAAATCTTTACCATGGAGCAAAATCACAAATAAAAACGGTCAACGGTCTCTCAGAGGAAATTTCTATCACTAAAGGGCTCCGACAGGGTTGCTGTATATCCCCAACACTATTTAAAATTTATATTGCCAAGACCTTACATCTATGGAAAAGAAAATGTAACGGAATGGGTATAGAACTAAATGACATATGCCTATACACCTTGCAATTTGCAGACGACCAGGCCATAATTGCAAACGACAAAGATGACATGGAATATATGGTTTGGTTTGGCGGAAAATAATTGAAGAATATGCTAAATGGGGTCTCACAGTAAATACAGAAAAAACAAAATAGCTTCTAATTGGAGCTAATACAGAAAATCTTATTTTAGACAATAATATGGAAATTAGGGCATGTGAAGATTACAGGTACCTGAGATCTATATTTACAGGAGATCGAACGGACGATAGAGAAATAAACAACATAGTAAGAGTAATACAGGCACGAAGAGTTATCAGATGCATAAATGGCATTCTATGGAGCACTGAAATTACAAAAAGCAGGAAATATCATATATACGAGACACTAGTTAAAAGCATATTACTCTATGGATGTGAAACATGGCGACTCACTGAAAGGAATAAAAGGAAATTAGAGACAACAGAAATGGACGCGATTAGAAGAGCAATGAGAATTTCACGGAGGGATAAGATCAGAAATGAAGACATTAGACAACAGATGGGAATAGAGGGAACAATAGTAAATGATATAGAAACAAAACAATTAATATGGTACGGCCACGTTCAGAGAATGCACAATGAAAGAATTCCAAAACAAGTCATTCATTGGATACCACCTGGTAAACGAAAGAGAGGACGTCCCAAGAAAATATGGATGGAAGGAATAAGAAGGTCGATGAGCGAGAAAAATCTGACCGAAGATCAATGGGAAAATCGCACAGGGCGGAAGTTAGGCATCGGACAACGTCGTAGGACGTTCTGACCCGAATTTATATATATATATATATATATATATATATATATATATATATATATATATATATATATATATATATATATATATATATATATATATATATATATATATATATATATATATATATATATATATATATATATATATATATATATACAACAAAAGCTATATATATATATACAACAAAAGCCATCTTTTTTCAAATAAGTGTTTCAAATTTGACACATTTAAAGAATTTGCGTAGCCGTGATTGATATTAGTTATAGATAGTTTTCTTTTATAAATAGTATTAGTATATCTCTAAAATATAATTAAAAATTTTCGATAATAAATTTTCTAAACTTTCAAATTAAAGACATAAATAGTAATTTGCTCCACAACCGAGATAAACATTCAAAGGCGGAAAGGTCAAAAGGTAATTTGTTTAATTCGGGTAAGCATTAAGTTAACCTGGCAAAGGACTGCCCTTTTCTTTGAATGTCTATCGCTGAAAATTTATGAATTAATTAAAGTAATTAGCTAAATGTTAAATAAAATATTCTAAAATGTTGTGTTTTTATGTAACATTTATTTTTATATTTAGATCTAATAGCATTGAATAATATTTTAAAACATCAAATAGAGATTTTTTGCAGGTATAAATTGACATATTTTTTTCTTATATACGAGAGCTATTATAGAGGACAAATATCAAAACAAGACGAGTCTGGAAACGTAACTCTGTAAGATTTTTCCTATTGGATTTTTACTTTTGTCCGAATATATTAAGAATGACAAATCAGTTTATTAAATTGAATTTCATTATATTTTATAGACAACTTCCAAAAACAATAAATAGGGTTTAATACATTTAATATTTTTGGCAATAATTTTGAACTACGTAAGGAAATTACCTAAAGTATACATGGAATTTCCTCTATACATAAAATCCTATTTATGATTTTTAAACATGTAATAATTGTACAGGGTGTTTCATTTTTGTGTGTTTTATGCCGCTTTTTATTTATGAGTATAGATAAATAAGATGCGGTTTGCACATCACTGCGCTACTTTTTATGAAACTAAAGATGCTACACACAGATTTGTCCTTGCCCCCTTGGTTACTAAAATATAGGACGTATTTGAAAATGTTGTTGCATTTTCCAAACCCCCTTCGTATCTCAGTTATCTCATAACTTATGTGTTATAACAAAAAAATAAAAAGTGAGAGTCCAGTGGAGTATTTTACGTAGAAAATAGTGGCTACTAACTAGTTTTTTGCTGGGAGCTGTCATTTTCGAAATATGACTCAAACAAATGTCTTTTTTAAATGTGACACCCTATACATTATTTTTTTATTTGCCTTGTCATGAGCTTTCTAAAAATATAGCACATTCTATAAACAAGGTAAACATTTTTTAACTTTTTAACATAATATTCTAATAATCTAATTTAAAAGGGTATTATCATTTTATCTAATTTAATTTAACCAGAAAATTTTGCTTTCCATTGTGTTGTATTAAAAAACTGCACTGAAGTTAAAGCTTTTAGATAATACGCTGTTAATCAGAGTTATCGATATTTATAATTCACTTGTGCAATAATTCTACACACAGACAATAGCTTGGAATAGCCAGTAACCAAAATTTAACATTGAATCAATTATTCAATTGTTTTGATTACCTATTTTAAATCGGCCAGATATGTTAAAAGTTAAATATTGCATTGTCGGGTTGTTTATGCCAGTAAGTATACAGTATGTCCCCGGATTGTCTTTACAAGAGGAATATTTTTTATAAGAAATATTAAAATTATTAATTAATTAAAATTATTAAATTGTAATGAAGTCCGTATATTTTTTTTATTTAACCGGTTAAATGCTAGGCGTGAACATAAATCAAACACGGTACGATAGCGCGGCGTGAAAGTACTTCGCTGGTACACCGAAGGGCCCGGGTTCGATCCTGCCTTGGGACCTAACTTTTTTTATTTTTTTTATCGTTAATATTCTCATGGTAAATGTTTAAATATTTGTTTTTTTGATCACCAGGACGGATAGCGTTTGTGGATTTATGAACCATACTGTATATAAGTAGAATTTGATATGTTCATTTGTTTTGAATGATTATGGTAACAAATAATTCTTAAACAAGCTTAGTATGGTTTATTTTTATTTTTAGAACTGCTATGATAGTCTAAAACTGAAAAATACTCTTAATATTAAAAATTATTTGCTGATAAAATTGTGTTAAATATTTCGTCGATTTGCATGGAGACGTTGAAGTTTTTTTTTGTTGGTACAAACAGCAAATGGTTTTTTGTAGGATCGACGGGTAAAAACCGTTTTTTTTACTGTAAGGAATCTTGATGAGAGGTAGAACGATGGTAACCGAACGTGGTTCGTGGTTCCCGACGGGAAAGATTATTTAAGCGACGGGAGCGCGAAAACG